TCTTTAAAAAAAAAAAAAAAAAAAAAGTACCTTGAATGCACTTGAGAGTATCAATTTACCAACATGAAGCCAAGCTGAAAAATCCCTACGGTGACTGCAGCCCTGTGGCACTGCCTATTCCAAGTATGTCAAACTGCTGTTGTCAAGGCATTTGGGGAAACAACCTAGCAAGCCTCCAAAATCACAGTACAACAGATGTTCCTACAGTTCTCGGGATAGCTTCAAGACACAATGTACAATGCTAATCAAATTAATAAATAATTACATATTCCCTGAAGTGGAATCTACTTCTAAACTAGTTCTAAATCTCACATAATGCAACCCAGAGCTCTTGTCCAGTTTTTTAAATAAGCACCTATACATAAAACAGGTCCATATAACTAGATAGATTCTAGCACAATAAATTAAATTGGGTTAGATGTGGGTGTTTTCAATTATCTCAGCTTGTTTGATGCGTCTTTTGTATGTATTATTATAGCAATAAAAGCCAGAAAATTAGCCCCAAGGATAAAAAAGTTTTTTTTAATAAACAGAAAGCTCTAAAACCATATCCACATATATTCCCATTCAAATCAGAGCATGTGCCTTTCTCTCATATTGCTCACACAGTCATTACGGTCATTAGACTGTTGGGAAGATACATTTGGAGTAAATAATTCAAATTTCATTTAGGGTTCTGATGATGTTCTGATGCTATAAACACTTCACAGGCTGCAAAAACAAGTGCCTTTAGGACCAAAAACAAACCATGGAAGCAAAAAGAACTAAAGTATTAAATATTTACCTATGCATGCTCCTAAGGCATGCAGTATATTACAAGGGAAAAAGAGAACACACATGTGCCAAGTAGGGCAATCCCAAAATCCTAACCATGCACAAATATCAATAATTTATATATGACAAAATTCTTATTTCTTTTTCTTAATTTTATTGGTACTTATTATGTATACAATATAATGACATTCATTGTTGGAAATTTGCACCTTTACATAATCAGTCTTGGTTCTTATTTTCTCCCCATTCCCCTACCCTCCCTTCAACCCCTCCTTCCCACTGTATCTACAAAGACTTTGTTTCCATTATTTTTCATTTTCTCATATTAATTCCATTCCCTTCTAAAATTCTGATTTCTATACAAGAATTTGGCTTTTATAACAGATTCAGTTGTCCCAGGTTCCTTGTCACACCTTTTCCCTCCCCTTCTCCTTTTTTGCTCTCTGCATCCAAGCCAGCAGAACAGCATTAATATGCAGACAGCGATGTGGCAATCAGTCTGCTGTAACCATTTTATATATATCTGCATGTGAATTAGTGGCAAGAGAAATAAAATCTAGCCTGGAGCATCATTAATAAACAGAAAACAAAGCCTGTCTATCATAAGCAATTACTCAGGTTGTTAAAATGACCCTAAAGCATTGATAAGGGCTCATAGGTCACCCTTCCTTGGCATTCCCATCAGAGACCGTGTTGTTTCACATAGGATTTCTCAATCTCCACCACCACCACTAATTCCTTACCAGAAAAGGAAAATGCCAATCCACAAAAACCTACAATACAGCAAACTTCACACTCTAAAACTGGTTTGAGAAGTTCTTGTGATCAGCAAATCTGAATACTACATCTATTATGTAAGCATTTTCTTCTCCTAATGCACAACCAAATAAAATTTGTTTAAGAAACATAAGGCAACATAATAGACATGTCAAGAAGCTGGACTTTCAAATTACACAGGCCTGAATTCCAGTTGCAGCTCACTACTACTTCCTAGCCGGAATGTGAGCAGGTGATTTAATCTTTCCAAGGTTCAGTTTCTTCATCTGTAAATTCAGGTAATAATAGTATATTCCTATGAGATTATGGTGAGAATTTTACATTTTTAATGCACAAAAAGCCTCTATCTCAGTGTTTGGGCACACGAAAATGGGGATCAATAAGTGGTGGTTTAAACACACAGGCCAAGTTAACCACCCACATAATTGGAAAGTAATCAAACTTGTTTCTAATGCCTTCACAGTCATTGCTGTTTTCTTCCCCCTATCTCAGGATATTGATAGGCAAAGCCCTACTACCTCAAGATATTATCAGTCCATGGGCAGGACTATTTCACACAATGGACCTGGTCTAGCTACCTTGAAAATGCCTACATTCTCAATGATTTTTCTGCTTCCATACAGAACAATTCTAAATGATGTGATATACTTGCAGACCGTGTTAACCTCTGAAAATATTTTGCTTACATCCCTCATTCTGGACAACACGGCATTGCCTTTTAAAAATGTAAACAGTTTCAGTGAAACTATAACATACATACTACAGAAAAAAGGACACCAAAATTTGAAGGCTTTTCATAAAATAAACATGCCCAAGTATCCAAAATTAGTACCAAAACCCCAGAAGTCCCTTGTGCCTCTTCCTTCCCAATTATATTAACAATGGCTTTTCTCTATTAATTTGAGTCTTCTTTTGAGCAAGGGCTGGGTCACATTCATCTTTGAAAAATCAGGCTCTAAAGCTTGGAATGACTGATGCTTAGTGAATATTTGCAGAGTTGAATTCCTGTCAAGGAAAGTCTAAAAGAAAATTTTTCATCCAACTGAAAAGGAACTGTGAGAAGTTAGACTACTTTTATTATTTCTCACAACCACCAATGTCATGATCATGCTAACATCATAATCTCCTTTTTTCACATTCCAGTCTCTGATCATAAAATGACGTCCAAGATTTCATCTTTTTTGAATGGCAGTTGTGATACTCAAGTTTAATTTTACCAACTGTCTCAGCTGAATTATCCATTCCCAATGTCCTGCTCTTTTATAGTGGAAGTTTGGGGGTTGGGAGAGAAGCATATCTCCTTTACCCTTAGCAGTCAAGAGAAGACTATCAATCCTATTCCCTCAGATCACTCTTCCTATTCAGACAGGACACTTATTTTGTTTTCATCAAACTTGTTTCTACTGCCCCCTCCACAATTATTGCTGTTTTCTGAAAAGAAAATTCCAAAGGAAAGGTGAGACTCCTATGGACTTCATGGCATCCTGGTTGGTCAAGAATTCATGACAGTTATGTATAACTCAGGTCAGGCATTGAAGTTTCTTAGGACCAGCTCAATTAATACTGTTTTTCAAAAATTCCATATGCCCAAAGGTTTAGGAATATAGCAAAATCCTACCAAGAGCCTTGATGCTGAGTTGACACCATATGAGACGGTTCAGGAGCACAGGAACTCATACACGGCTTCTTCCTTGGTGTTCTTTCTCCTGGTCCTGCAATACTTCTATGTGCCTGCTCTACAGGGAATTCTAAGGCTGTTTGCTAAGAGCCCAGTGGATGCCAGAGCTGTTTGCTTGATTGGCTTTAATGGAAGCAACAATTGCATTTTAAAACCTTTACATTAACTTCACCAAGGTAAACACTCAATCTTGTATAGATTATGCTGACACTTCTTTGATATCAAAAAGGGTTCCTTCTTAAGTCAAATGAAAGGAGATGAAAAATCCAAACTCTGGAAAACAAAAGCTGTTCTATAGGCCTACATATTTTTTTTAACTTATCACACCATGGCCCAGTTTCTCCCTTGGTGGTACTTAAAAACCACCTTTGGAGAGTCCATGGTTGAATGTTACCTCTAATCTTACTATTTTTAGTCCTTGTTGATTTTCTAGGTTGCAGTCTTCAATTTGGTTTCCAAGCTCCAGTTTATTCACTGTACTGAAAACTTTCATTTTTCTAAATCACACTGCATGCATATTAAACCCTTATACAGTTAAACATGGAGACTCTAAATCAGCTTGCAAAGCCCATTGTTATTCCCATTAAAAATAAAATTCAAGTTAACTAAGTCATGGTCTGTGGATTCCATAACCCTCATATTTTTACAGGAATCATGTGACACTCAGCTTTACAGTTTCTCTGTCCCACAGCCAGTCAAGCATGGGATTAACTGAGTCTGTCTGACATACTGAAAAGACAATAAAAGCTGATATTTC